GGTGTAGTTGAAGGATCCCCACCCCCTCCTTACCCAGCAGGATAAGCATCCTCCCACAAGATAATTAAAATGCACCCCAAGGGGAAGGGTTGCTGGGGGTCAGAACTGCTGCCCCAGCGAGGTGCCCTGGAGACTGCTTGGCAAAAACTCAACTCCTCTCCCATGGTGCCTGCAGACATCTTGGGGAGGGGGAGGAACAGGGATGGGGATAGGGAAAAGCCAGCCTCCTGCATGCTGCTGTTGCTTGGACCTTCTGATTTTTCCCACTGCCAAGTTTAGGAGTGCTCTCGGTCTCAAGGATTTTAATTTTCCAGGCCCCCGTTCCTCAGAGACACTTTTAAAACTTGACTCAGAAAGAAAGAGAGAGAAGGGAAGGGAAGAGATGGTAAGGGGGAAGAAAGAAAGACATCGTTATTAGCAACCCTCAGGGTTAAGTCCCACAGAACCCACCCCTTCTCTGCAGAGAAGTACACAGGTAAATAGGCAACCTTTTCTTTCAAAACTCATTTTGAGTGTTTATTTCGTCAGCCTGATTTCTAGCAGGATATTGAAACCCAATGCACAGCTACATTTCCCATCAGCCCCATAGAGGACTGGCCAAATACAAAGCTCACTAAGCAAGTGCATCCAGGCAAGGCAGAGGACAAGTGGGAAGAGAGTTTCTGCCCACTTGTGCTTGGAGAGTCCAGGAGCCATGATGGAGTGTTTCAATTAGTGCTGACTTAGCATGACACCCAGGATTTCCACTATTCATCTGACATGCCGCTAGCAATTGGAGAACGTGGTCCCACCTAGTGGGATTAGCTAGGCTGTGGGTTCTGGGAACTGAGCAATGAGGGTGAACTCTTTGTTGCAAATATGTCATTCCCTCTTATGACCTGTTGGGTGCAATTTGCCTTGGGGTACAACTTGCTATTCAAGGTCTCTTTGAAAATGCTCTTGGCCTAGTGTTTTGTTGCACAGCATCTCTGTTTCTTTCTCAGCAATCAAACTTCTATGACTCTTCCATTAATTGGGGAGTTTTTAAATCTTGAATTTACATGGAGAAGACTTGTGTGCCTTGAAGTCTCATGCCGATTGCCATCTTCCCTTTAGGAATCACTGGCTAAAACACCAGTGCCCCCAGGGGTCCTACTAAGCATTATGGCCAGCAAGCAATAGTCAGGGATTGACTAACAGACAGCTGAAGGCAAGAGTAAGACTCCAGGTGTGGAAGGAGAGATGGAGAGAGGATTGATATGCTTCTGGAGGTCAGCAATGCCCTTTCAACCCCAGGACAGGTGAGAGAGATTCTGACATCCCTATGCTTTCAGAAGCCTGAGACTAATCATTTTCTTCCATTACTCTTTGCAGGCTTAGCCTCCCCACCACCTCCTGGAACTTCTGGCTTTGTCTGGAAAAAATGCTAACCAGCTCTTTGCAAGAGCTATCACTAATATCCTGGCCAGAGAGCTCTCAATAGACACTATGTGCAGTGCAAAAGGAACATGGTGCTCCTGGGGGAGGCCAAGTGGGCAGCTTCGGGAGCACTCATGAGCAGCCAAAGAACAGGCCCATCCCCATTCCCAAATCCTCAGCTTCCTGCTCTCCTCGTAGCCTTCCTGTTCTCAGAATTTCACCATCAGAGAACACCGCCCCAGGCAGGTTAATTGTCCCTGCTGTACATATAGGTGCTTGGGGAGGAAGGACACAGTTCCTGGAAAAAAGATATGCGTTTTCTTCTGATAGGAGGGGCCCCAAGGGAGTGAGAATGCTGGGCTCCAGATGCAGAAAGTAGGAAGGAGGTGCCAGAATTCTGGGAGTCAGAATAGACCACTTCCTCCTCCTGCCTTCCTGGACCTTGGCCTGGCCTCTCTCCATCAGTGGAGGCAGCTAGGGAAGAAGAGCCCTGGACAGGAAGTTCTCATTTCATCTGGCTCTCTCCTGCCATAAAATCATAAAATGCCAACGATAGGCAGCTGAGTCTTAGGAATCCCTCAGCCCCCCAACCCCCTCATTTTATTCTCAGAGACTCTGAACCCCAAGAGATGCAGGACCTTGGCCAAGATGGCTGGTCCTCAGTACCTCCTACTCTCCAGTCAAGGAGGGGTGTCAAGAGCTCAAATGCTGCTGGTTCATCAAACAGCATTTTCTTTCGTAGCTCCCACTCCCATCTTAACTAGATTAGATCCCTTGGTCCTTTTTCTCATCACGGGTGGAAATAACCTATTTCTTTGTGTGATTTTTTTTCAATGCCTGTCACCTCCTGTCAATCATACTTTCTGTGAGGGCAGGCAACTTTCTCTGCCTCATTCTCCACTATACCCTAGTGTCTCATACACAGTAAGCACACAACCACCATTTATTGAACACGTAATCTCCTTTCTCAAAGTAACCCCCTGAGAAATATATTACACTCATTTTACTAATGAGGAAGCTAGACCTAGGACAATTTAAATAACAAGTGGAAAAAGCAAGATTCAGTTATGAATAAATATCCCTTTTCCTTGTACTGTCTACTTTTCTGACAAAGATGAACAGATTTATGAGAGTCCCTTAAGCTAGGAGCCTTGGCTCAGACTTTTTTTAAATGTGATGTTCCAGGACCAGATGCCCCAAGACTTGAGAGAGGAGGTGGGGTCACTTTAGACCAAGGGCAGCCCACAGCAGGGATCTCCAGGCAGGCATCCAGTCTTGCCAAAGCAGACATAAGTGTGGGGCCCACAAGCACCAGGAGTCGGAGCAAGTACCAGGCCAGAGGTCCAGACAAGGAAGAGGGGGCCAAGGACCACAAAGCAGGGAAGATATCCCCACTTAGCAGCTGGGGAGGCAGACAGTGAGACAGGACAATGTCTGCCTGACAAGAATATTAAAGTCACCAAGATGCAGTGAGTCCAAAGCTGAAGCTCGGGGAAAGCCCTGGAACGTGGAAAGGGCAAGGGCTTTGAGGCTAGAAATCTTGAGTCTCGGCCCTAGCACTTACCAGCTTGGGCAAGTTACTTATGCTACTGTAGCCTTAATTTGTTCATCTGAAGCATAACGTGGTGCTAACCCGTCTACCCCATAAGGAGGACAAATAAGATCAGCCAGGGCAAAGTGCTCAGCATAGCACCTGAGATACAGTGAGCTTCCTTAAGCACTTCCTTCAAGGTCAGACCACATTCCAGATTTGGAGTCTTTAGGCAAGAGCATAAAAGTGGTTAAACCTGGCTACCAAGGCAAGTGAGAGACTGACGGGGAAAGAGATCCTGACAGAGAGGATAGAGCAGTGATCAGAACCAAAAGCATCTCAGCTCAGGGTCTCAAAGCCTTATTCACAGCCTGGCATATGGTTGGTGCTGAGTAGGCTCAGCTGAGCGAACAGGTCCAACTGAGGATGTTAAAGAGTTGCCATGTTTTTACTACTAGCCTGCTATTATTCATTCATTTTTCACTGGCTCCTTCCCCTCCAAAGTTGTGTCATGACACAGGAGTAAAAGCATGGGCTCTGACGTCTGCCGTTTACTGTTCTAACTTGGACATTCTTCTTGACTTTGTTTGCTTATCTGTTAAATGAGCTGGAAGTAAGGTGGAATGGAGAATGCTTTAAGCAGAAAGGTTCACATGTCAGAACCACCACATCATGGTGGGCGAGTGTGTAGAACTGAAAGAGTATTCATGTGGAGAGACAGAGATGAAAAGAGTGAGTAAAGAGGCCCCAAAGGTATGCAGGACCCACCATCCAGATGATGGCAAAGGGAAGAAATGCTCCCAAAGGAGCAGAGAAGAATCAGGTCCAGGAAGTCTAACCCCCTGCATTAAGCTTGTGCTTCACCTCTTGGCATTTCCATTAAAATTATAAAGAGGAGCAGGATTTACTGTGATAAACTTCTCAGACCTGTTACTCAGAATAGTCTCAGGAAATCCAATGGGGTCCCAGCAGAGAAAGCTCCTTGGGAACTACAGTAGTCAGCAAGAAGAATATCCTCCATCCTGTGGGACAATCCTTGGTAATCATTCCAGAGTAGCTAACAAAATAGAGACAGAAACGCTGGATACAAACAATGAGAACTAAGATGACATGGATGAAAATACTAAGTAAAAATGGCCACCAAGACTGGAGAAAGGAAAGGCAGTTAGTACAGTGATTTCTTAACCTACGATGCACATAGGAAAAATCAATTTTAAGAATATCTATGCACCATAAAAACATTATTTTCCACTCAATGCAAAACAATATTGTTTTCGTTGCTTTTGTATCATATCCTCCCCACTTTGGTCACCTCCAGTCAAACCTAACAATTAGAGAAGATGAAGTCTATTCTTTCCTCTTCATTCCAAGAGACTAAATCTCTGCTGGCCCCATGAATCCCAGCTTTCATCTGTAGAGAGGAAGCCCTTTGGCATAAAGCTCTCCGCCCAACCCAAGCTTACAACACACCACTAACTTGGGAACATGGCAGGGATGAGAATGGATGTCACATATCAAACACAGATCTCAGGCAAAGTGGGAAAGAAACTATCACAAATGAAGTGCTCAGTCCCACTCTCCTTTTCTCTGCAGCCAACAACACAAGGATTGGTACAAGGATTTATACCACTAAGCAGAGTCTTGGGAGGCCATATCCCATTTGCAAATCAGATTTGATGACGTTTTAAGCTAAAACAATTGGATTTTTCATAAAATGTTTTAAACCCTCTCAGGACTTTGGGGTTCTGAGCCAGGGTGGAGGATTACATGGAAGCCAAAAGAGTAGCAAAAACTCAGGAAGAATTTCATGTGGAACAAATGAACACAGATGGGAATGTTACGCCACAAACATGCTCTCATCTGCTTCTAGCTGCAAACAACTATGCCGAAGAGTCTCAGCTCTGCCTTTCCTTCAAATTCCAAGATTCAGAGTTTTTTCTTTGACTTCCTTCTTCCCACTGTTTGCCTCTCATGCATTCCACTCTGCTTCCCCAGCCTCCCATCCTACCCCTGTGTCTCATGTCATGACATCCTAAGAAATTACAACCTGCCCCCCATATTTTAAAAATACCTGTATCCTTGACTCTCTGGTGTTTGATGAATTATTTCCAATAGGTTTTCTAGCAAAACTGATCAAGACTCTGGAGAAGATAGTCCCAGGTTGCAGGTCGATAAAACTGTGGTCTGGCTCCTCTGGGTGCCTATATGTGTGACCAGAGGCTGAAGGACATTGGGTGCTCGACAGTAACCTCAGTAAAAATCCTCGGGCAGCAGCAAACTCTCCCAGTGCAGTTTCGAAACATCACACAAGGAGGAAGCCTCTTTAATCAAATAATAACCAACCAGAGATAAGACCTGCTAGGCTGAGCTTGTCCAGCCAATCACATGCTTCCTTCCGACTACAAGGACAAACAGACCCAGGCTTCTGGAGCAAGTTTCAAGGCTTGTTATAATTTAATGATGCAGCAGGTGGTGTCTTCTTGGCATTTCCTGCTGGGGATTTTCTAACTGGGGAGCAAAGCTCTGAGCTCAGTAACCTCATTTGCAGTGGAGGTGCCTGGCCCGGGGGTTGTAGCTGAGCACCCTGGGGGGGTCACATGGAGTCCCAGACTACTGGCCTGGCTGCTCCCAACTTGCCAAGACAGTTCTCACCGCTGAGAGGAAGTGAGGCTTGAGTGGGCAGAGCAGGGGTGAGGCCACCAGAGGATGAGCATATTTGACACCAGATATGCAGTTCACTGACTGTGACACCCAAAAGGTTGAGAAACCCTAGTGACTTTCTCTCACATGTTGGAGATGCTTATTAATGAGCACTACCTATTTGTCCTTTAATCAGTAGTGACTTGGGGCTTCTATATGTCTTCATCCTTTCCAGCTGCCACCACTCTCCCATACCAAAACTATCATTGCCATGCTGGCCTTGGAAGGGTGTTTTTAAAAAGGGTGGGCTCTGGGAGCTAGGCAGGCCTGGAGACGGCCCTCTATCTTGTCAGCCCTGTGACTTTGAACATGCCAGTCTCTTCCTGGACTAGTTGCTGCAAAGATTAAATGTATGAGAACTCTCTCTGTTCCCTGTGAAGCACCTACATGCCTTGAGAAGATGTAGACAAACCCTCAAAGCACCTTGATCTATTAGAGTTCATTATTCAAAGGAACTTAAGGGGAACCCTCTTGTCATATAAATAACTATTCAACAAATATTTATGTTGCATTTACTGCAGTAGAGACATACTAACCACTGGAGACACTAAGGTGAGCCCAACCTGGCACAGTTCCCTGCCCTCGTGAAACAATGTCAGTCTAGGAGGTGGAAGTTTATCAAAGAGGTCTTTGGTACAATGGAACCAGTGAAGGGGGCTTTTCATGAAGGGAATAAGCCTGTCCAAGAAGAATAAAAATAAAACCAGCAGTGGTAGACAGGAAATAGGCCCAAGTCAAAGAGTCAAGTGCAGCCAAACATCCTTCAAGGAGACCCTCTGCAGGGTTCCTGCTGGGGAAGAAAGGAGAAAAAGTAAAGTTGTATCTCCAATCCTTTAAAAAATATATATAACAGCTTCATTGAAATCTAGTTCACACACCATACAGTTTGCCCACTTAAAGTGTATAATTCAGTGATTTCTAATATATCTAGAGTTGCCCAGTCATCAGCAGAATCAATTTTATAATATTCCATCATCCTAAAAAGAAACATCTTCCCATGAGCAGTCTCCCCCAGCCCCAGCCAAACCTCCTCCAGCCCTAGGCAACTACCAATCTACTTTGTTTCTCTTATGGATCTACCTATCCTGGACATATTCTATAAATGGAATCATACAATATTTGACCTTTGCAACTGGCTTCTTTCACTTAGCGTAAAGTTTTCAAGGTTCACTTCATTTATTTTTTATTGCTGATTAATATTTTGTTGCTTGAATATACCACAGTATATTTATCCATTTATCCATCTGTGGGCATTTGGGTTGTCTCCATTTTTTTATTTTTTTATTTTTGTTATCATGAATAATGCTGCTGTAGACATTCATGTACAAGTCTCCACTCTGTTGTATTCACAGATTCGCAACCCTATAGCAAAGAAACAGGAAGGATACAAAGCAAGTGAGAGAACTAGTCATTAAAGGGCTTCTCCCCAGCTAGAATTTATAATATCATAGCAGTAACTGAGTCCTACATTCGCATATATTTTCACGGTGCATGAAACACAGTCATATATGCCCTCGTGTAATCTTCCCCACAACTCTATGCAAGAGGAAGGTATTATTTTTTACTGCCATTTCAAAGATAAGGTCATGGAGAATCAGAAAGTTTGAGTAACTTGCCAAAAGCTACCCAGCCAGGAATTGAAGCCAGAAGTAAATCCTATGTTCTTTCTCCTTCAGCTCTTCATACACAAAACAGGTCTTTATTCTTCTCCTACACAGTCTTGGCTTCCAGGATATTTTGTTCAAGGGAAAAAAACAAGAAAGAAGAAAGAATTTAATAAGGGCTTTATCAAATTTATGGAAAAACTGGCAATTGGGTCAACAAATGGTTGATGTTGTCGTCAGCATTTACACATTTTTTACCTAAGACTCAGGAAGATTAAATGTCTTATTTAAAGGCACAGAGTTTGCAAGCCAGCCATTGATGATTCACAGGCAGATAAGGATCTGATTCCCAAACACAGGCTAGGTCATCTTGCTTTCTTCTTACCCGCTGACTGACAGCAGTGCCTATGCAGCTGGCTTGGTTGTTCACATGGAAGGAAGAGGGACTTTGGATGGCAGTGCAAGTGGGGTAGGCCTGGGTGAGGAAGGGTGTGCATAAGGGGATTGTGAAAGTCTCAAGATGCAGGGGAAGATGGCTATATAGACGAGAAAACTCAGAGGCCGTGGGGAGGACTCCACTGAAGCGTCGCCAAGTTCTCAGTTTGACTTGTGGCCAGGAATATTTCATCCAAATTCTTAAGGTCACTTGATTAAACAATCAGGGCAATGTGCTTGGTGGGATGGTATGGGGGAAATAATCAACTAGGGCAGCAAGTATGGTGACTGGAAACAAGAGCATCCACCCAGATTCTCACAAATTCAAAAACATCTTAACATTAGGCAGCCTGTAAATAAGAAAAATCGGTTAGATGTGATTAATGGGAAGTAGTGGAGACTAGGGTCAGTTGAAGGGTATACATCTCATCCAAGGCATCTATTATACCACCTCCAGCCAAATATTGCCATGGGAAATGTAGCCCTAGTATGGTCAGATCTTTTTATTTTCAAAGGAAGCTGAAAATATAGATTTTAATGTGAAATCTCCAATTTTTTTTAATTGGCAACCATTCAAAGAAATTAAATACTGTTCAAACCAAAAAGCCCACACAGATTTGCAAGGTAAATTCAGCCTGTGAGCTGCCAGCTTTTCCCCTCTAATGTGGACAAAATATGCATTTGCATATATGTACTTACCACCTCTATCACAGTGACCAAAAGTTCTAAACAGACTGTAAGACCCAGTCCTGCAGGTGGTTGTAGGTTTGTCTCTCTTGCTCCCCTGTGCTAGAGTCATCAGATTGTCGTCAGAGGACTACAGACATCTCCAGGAAATTAACAAACACAAAGATTCCTGGGCACTACCCCAGAAGTCCTAGGGCCAGAACCTGGGAGTCTGCATTTTAATAGGATGCCCAAGTCATTCTTATGCACACTACAATTTGAGAATATTTGACTCTATGTCCTGAAGAGCCTTGGGTGTCAAGATAAGGAGTTCGAATGTGTCCTGAAATTTCTTTAAAAAAAAACACCAAAAATGACATGATTCAACTTAAGTTTTTTAAAAAATAGCTTCAATTAATCATTGTATACCCCAGAACAGTGTATCTCAACATGTGATCTTGGCCACACCTGCATCAGAACCACTTTGCTATCCTGTGGAAATGCAGTTTTCTAGGCCCTTCTGACTAACAATTTCTTGTGTGTGTTATAATTATAATAGGGAATATGACTGTGGCTAGCTACTGGGTTAAACACTTTATAAAAATTGTAGCTAATAACCCTGCCGAATAGACGCCATTGTGTTTATTCTATAAATAAAATGAGGCTCAGGAAGTTGAAATGTGTGCAGTAGTATTGTGGATATGTTTTTAGAGAACAAAACAGTATCTTTGTCCTTCATACCAAAATATTCACCAGTGAAATTATATGATGTCTAGGGATTTTCTCCAAAGTAATATAAGAGGGGTGGGCTGTGGGGGAGGAAAAAGAGGAAACAAAACTTACCATGAGTTGATAATTGGTAAGGAATGTGTGTATTAAGCATCCTTTATGCAATTTGTTATTCTGTTTTTTCATTTTTTTCTACACGTAATTTTTTTCTATTTATTTTTTCATAATGAATAGAAACAAAAGACTTCCTCGCTACCACTACATCATGCAATTACAGAGCTTAGTAAATATGCGGTTGCTTAATAAATAGTTTTGCCCATTGTTTGTGTCTCCTCTGAATATTAGCAGGATTGCAGTCATTAAGATACCCACATAAAGTCATATGTATCTCTATAGATGTTTTGTTAAATGACTTATCAGTGTCTGTAAGCCCCCTCAATATCATAAGCTTGTTTATGGCCAGGGACCCACCTACTCACTCCACCTGGCATAGAGCTTATTAGTTTCTCAATGGATGCCACATGGGTGGAGGCGATCCATGGGTGTGAGAAAAGTTGAAATGACCTGGAACACCCTGCACACATGCCTGCCATAATGCCAAATGGGAACATCCCAAGCTTTTCTCCCAGAGTCCCTCTTTGAACCACCAGCACACATTGTTCCCAACAATCGCAGACTACTCCATCACATTCCCCTTTTTATTATAGCCCTTGTCATCATTTAATGCAAAGGTGTGCATGTTCAGTTGTGTATGTGTGGTCTTCCCAGCTAGACCATGAACTCCTTGGGGATGGGAATGATGTTTTTCAGTCCTCTGTGATCTCCAGGCCTCCAGAGTCTGGCCCAGGGTGCATAGGCAAAGTCAGTCCCAGAGGAGCACCGCTCAGAATCCTCTTCACAAGAACCTGCTGTGGGCTCCTAGTTGACTGATAGCCTCTCAGTGCTGCCTCTTTGGATCCACCATGGCATTCCTGCCAAAGTCACACTTGCTCAAGGTCTCCTGGTCAGTGACTGAGCACAGTGGAGGCATGAGAACCAGTCCTCCCCTCCACATGCGATATTCCCCATCATCCTGGCAGACACTTTCCCAAAGCTGCCCCGTGATCTGAGGCCCCTCTGATCTAGTCCTTACTTTGCTCTCTCCTTTCACAGGACTCAGACCTGCAG